AAAATTATCAAATTTATAAAATAAAAAATTAAAAATAACATATTATAAAGTAAAAAACTAAAACATACCTATTATTTTTTAAAATAAAGAGTTAAAACTATATTTTTACCAGGTTCGTATAGAACTCAAAATTTTGAGTGTCCAAGTACTTCCACAAAGTGGGTGGCCACTAAGCCAGCAGGAGCTGAACACGTCTTTCTTCGATTTCGTTTGATAACATCATTCGATATTATTACTAAACTGTAATTGTTAAAAATAATTTTGGGATTACGTTCTGGGGATCAGATTCAAAGACAAATATGGGTTCGCTAGAGGAAGAGAGATCGCCTTTGGAAGATGGGCTTCTTCAGGTTCTTTTGATTTAAATTTTTCCTTTTTCAGATTAGTGGGTATCTCGGAATTTATCCATTCACTATTCCATATCAGTAATTTTATCTCTTATTTTTTACGAACGGTGATGCGTAGATTCTAGGAATCGATGACAAATTTGGGGATTTACCCTTTTTTTTTTTTTTTTTTTTTTTTTTCATTTTTAATTGTGGATACCCACAATTTTTTATGGTGAAGGAGCAATTGGGAGCTGAATACTTTGCCGGCATATGATGTGTTGCTGATGTAGAATCTTGGGTTTCTTTTTATTTTGGTATTTGCTCTTACAGTTCCTTATCTTGACTGCTGAGAACTGAGATCTGTCTCTGAACTTTGTTGGGTAAAATTTAAGCTGCAATATGTCAAAGCTAAAAAAATGGACAGCTTAGTTGGGTTTAATGAATGGTTCTTTATAAAGTAGGAAATTTACGGGTCTGGTTTGAGTCCAGCTTGTGCTTGGCTGCATCCTGCAAACCTGAGTTCTATCTTTGTTTGTCTGTAGGCAATAGTGTGATGATTTGCTCTGGAGACTGCAGCCAGAGTAATTTTCTTCATTGCTGACTGACGGTCATAAGTTTTAGCTGATTCTTTGTCCAGATTCCTGTAATTTAGTATTCAAACAGCTTTGGTATGTGATTGGATTTTCTTTAATGTTTGTTTGTGAAAGCAAATATGATTTGGTAATGTTTTTTCTAAGGAATTTATCTTTTAGGTGGTTCGTTTGCAGGATATGATTTAATATTCATTATACATGTTTCTTGACTAAAAACTTCTGATCTTCTGTTAGTTGAACTTTGAAGTGCTTATGATGATTTTTTAATTTTTTTCGTCTCCAGAGTGAAGGCAGTGGACTGTACACTGGAGATGGCTCAGTTGATATTAAAGGGAAGCCTGTCCTCAAACAGAATACTGGAAATTGGAAAGCCTGCCCTTTCATTTTGGGTAAATTATCCTTTGTTTCTTCAACTGTTTTTGTCCTTGTAATTTTATTTTACTTGACAATCATAATATGAAACACAGGTACTGAATGCTGTGAACGTTTGGCATACTATGGAATTGCCACTAATCTTGTAACTTACCTAAAAAGCAAACTACATGAAGGAAATGTAGCTGCCGCTAGAAATGTCAGCATATGGCAAGGCACTTGTTATCTTACCCCTCTTATTGGAGCAGTCTTAGCAGATGCTTATTGGGGAAGATATTGGACAGTCGCTGTGTTCTCCCCTATTTACTTCATAGTAAGTACTTATGCTAGTTATTTCTTTTGGTTACCAAGTGATATCATTACCCGGTTATTTGACCACCGTAATTCTCATGCATGATGACAATGCCTCAATCAGCAATGAAATTATCCTAAACTTTTAAAATTTAATGACAATATGAACTCTGATCTTTTGTTCTATACTTTAAATTGAATTAGACATCTCAGGCAGCCTCACAATCCTTGAGGAGCTGCAAAAGTAGAACCTTTGATATTATTTGTTTCTATAGAAAGATTTCATAAGAAACTAAGTAAGCTTTAGTGAGAGAGAATCAGTTTAATGAAAATAAGGAAGCTAATGATACAGATGCAATGCGATGTGAAGTTTTAGAAGTTTATCTCTGATTAATTTATGATAGCTAGTCCCAGGACTTTATCTTGGATTAATTTATGAAAAATTGCATAGAAAAGGACATGAATTTTCATCCTTTTAGTAACTAAGGATATAGCTTTTTTCATTACAAATCAAGGATGTAAACTATAAGTTACTAATCAAGGATGTGTACTTTTTCCAAATCACTATTGAAGGTTAAATTGGGTTGATTATAAGGATTAATTCAATTGATTTTAAAGGCTTAATTAATCTCTTTGTAGTAATTTCTAAAAGTACACATACTTAATTTGTAACTTATGAAAGTTCCGATCCTTGATTTATAACAACAATGAATAAAGCTTGTATCCTTAATTTCTGAAAGTTCCTGTCCTTTTGCATATAATTTCTCATTAATTTATGACAGGCAGCTAGTTGTAAAAGTTTATCTTTGATATGTTTTATGCCAACTTTCTTAATACAATTCCTAGTGTTCATCAATGCAAGTTGATTGTTGAAATTCAGTTTTTGAGGGGAGGCATATACTTGGAAAAGTTTTGCAGTGCTGCTAGCTACAATAAAAGGCATTTATGCAACCCTGTTCAGCAAAACTGATTTCCTCACTTTATCCACTTTTTTTTTTCTTTGTTTTATAATTCTTTACACCTTTATTGCATAGTTGACAGAGACATAATTCTTAT